CGTACAAAGAAAATCAAAGTGAAATGAGAAAATTAAATGAATAAAAGGTAGATCCTCCTGATTCTCAGTTTCGTGAACTGTTCACCACCCATCTCCTTTAAATGACCGGGATTGTTTTTGGTATTAGGCATGTTATGTTCTGTGTGATGACTCCTTAAATGACCGAAATGTAGGTATAATGGCCACAGACACGGAGGGAACACTCATGATCTGAGTGTCAAGCTCTGCGTACTGTTTACATGTATTACGTGATCATGTCCATGGCCCCGTGGGGCAGTGCTGTTAGGGTCTGCGTTTCAGGGATGACAGAACTGAGGCACAGCCCTGGCCGGTTTGGCTCAGCAGTTAGAGTGTCGGCCTGCGGTCCAGAGAGACCCAGGTTCAGTACCCGCTAAAGGCATGTACCTCGGTTGCAGTTTGTCCCCAGCCCCGGTTGGGTTGTGTGTGTGTCAGCCACTTGATGTGTCTCTCTCACATTGATATTTCTCTCTCTCTCTTGTTCCCTCTCTCCCTCCCTCTCTGTCTGAGGATAAATGCAAAAATGTCCTCGGGTGAGGATAAAACAAACAAAAAACAACAACAAAAAAAACAGGCACAGAGAGGCTAGTATCTTGCCCAAGGTCACACTAGCTAGTGTGTCAGGACAATCCCAGGCAGAATAGTCTCAGGGATCAGGGAGAAGTCACTCTGTCCAGCTGCCTGGAATCTGTGGGGATGGCGGAGAGGGACTCTGGTTCCCTGGGTATAGGGGAGGGAGTAGCATCTAGGGTGCACAAGTGGGGTGCATGGGACCCTTGCAGAGGAAGCACAGCTAACACAATGCAGGTCACACAGAGATGCCAGTAGAGCCCATGAACCATTCAGAGAATAACCAGCATCCTGCATAAACCAAGTGCAGAGTATGGGCAAGCAGACGGAGAGGGTCCTGGTGGAGAGAAGGGGGAGATGGAAAAAGGGGTGAAAGGGTCAGAGGACAGAAGGAAAAAAAAATGGAACAGGGAAGGATGCCAAGGGGTTGGGGAGAGGACCAGATGAAGACCTTGCTGAGAAGAAATGGGATGTGATAGAAGGGGGGGGGGGTCCAGATGGGCAGAAGAAACCCCACTGGCTTTGGTTGGTCCCATGCAATTCTTTGGGTAGGTGATATAAGCAGGGCCAGGTGGGGGACAGTGGTCTGTGTACAGAAGCCCTCATGCAGGCATCACGTGTGTCCCATCCTGCGGCAGAGACGGGACCTCTGACACATAAGAACGCTGGCTTTGCAGTCTGGCCTCCTGCCACTTACTACCGTGTGACCTTGGGCAAGTTATTCAACTTCTCTGAGCTTCATTTTTTTTCTCCCCCCCTAAAAAATGGCACTGATATCAGAACCTATGCTGTAGATTGGCAATGAGGAGCAAATGCTGTGATGTCCATGAGGCATTTGATGTAGGGCCCGGCCCAAAGTAAGTGCCCGACAAATGCCTGAGGCAGTTAGTTTTAAAATTTCTCACTTGAACTTTTTTTTTTTAACTCCTTACCTGAGGATGTTTTCCCATTGATTTTCAGACAGAGTGGAAGGGAGTGAGGGGCGGGAGAGAGAAACATCAATGGGAGAGAGACACATCGATTGGTTGCCTCCTGCACGACCCTGACCAGGGCCAGGGCCTGAACCGCAGCCCAGCTACATGCCCTTGGCCAGAATCAAACCCGAGACTCTTTGGTCTGCAAGCTGATGCTCTAACCGCTGCGCCAAACCGGCCAGGGCTACCTTATACAATTTTTAATGCTACCTATTATCACTTGTGTGAGCTCAGTCAAGCCAATTCTCTAAGCATCAATTTCCTCATCTATAAAATGGGAAGAAGTAAAGCAACGTCCCTGCGAGCACTTTGCAGGCGTTCTCTCTTTAACCCACACAAAGACCCCACAAAGCGGAGGCTTGGATGAGAAGAGAGAACGTCTGTACCTTGGGTAGCACAAGGCCAGTTGCCTTCGCTGGGTTATCTTCACCAACACAGTTCATGGAACCAGAAAGGTAATTTTCCTTCTTTATCTGTAACTAGACCCAGCTTGCTCACAAACACCCATTTTTCTTGATGAAAAGCAAAACCAAATCTAATGCAAACAATAAACTTGAGCTTTCCCATTCAAGGAATGTAACCTCTGCTAGTTTAAAAACAACAGGCTCTTCCCAGTTCGTCCCGAGTCTCTTTGCATTTACTTTCTTAGCGAAATGCACAGTGTTTGAGGGTCCTCCCTCCAACCTCTCCATCCCATTCCCTGACTACAGTGGAACAGAGCAGGGGAGGCCCCTGGCCTGTGGTCCTCAGGTCTTCCCTGAGAGTGTCCATGGCTCTTGTCATGTGTGGACTGACTGGTCACCACTCAGGGGCCACCTTGGCTGCCATGGACACCGTCTCCTCAGATTCCACAGCAGTGGTTTCTCATCCAGCCTCGGCCTGTAGCCTGTGCCTGGTGGCCGTCCCCTGGCAGGCCGGCCGGCTGGCTCTCAAATCCGAGAGCTTCGGAGCCTGTGGAAACTTCTGGACCTGCTCTGTGAGAATTTGGAGGAGACTAGGGGTGGCAAAAAGAATATCACAAGGGATTTTAAGAGCAGAGATTTTTTTCATTTGTGTTCTGACGTATCCCAGGACTTTGAAGACTATGCTGCACATCAGTAGTTTTTAAAAATAGTGTTGAATTGAATGAATGATTCTCCGGCCTAAGCTCTGCCAAGTCACAGTTTCTCTGGGGTTTCTACTCCCTCCTGTCAGGGTTCCTAACCCAATGTAGGCATGAGGTTGGGTGGGACCCCCAGCAGAGCTGTCATTAGAGTCTAGACAGCGTGACTCTCCTCCCTCCCTGCACAGGAACAGGTTTATTTCCACCTGCCTAACGGGAAACAAGCTGGCGCCGTTTTCTCCACTGTCCTTGTCTTAGAGATAAGGCGGCCAGATGTCCTGGCTTTTGCCCGTGGGGGGTCATGGTTTGACCCGGCCCGCAGGTCGATCAACGAGGACTCTAGAGGGGGAGTGAGGATGAGGAGGGACAAGAGACACGAGAAATGGAGACAAGACAGGATTCTGATCAAGTCTCGTTTATTCAGGGGGAGTTCACACACTATATAGGGGGAAAACAGGTGAAACAGTTAATGAGTATCCCACCTGAAGCAAATTCCAGTAAATACCCCAGGTGGAACAAATGATAAGCAAGAATGGAGTAAACAATTATCTAGAGGAATGCAGACACTGTATGCAGAGAGACCCCGCCCTGGGGCCGGAGACGGCAGAGCAGACTCTAACAAGATGGATGCCATGCAAATGGTCTCCCACAATGGTTTATGTCCAGTGTCCCCACGTGATGAACAGAAGTGTCCCTCTTCACTCTCAAAAATGTCCTGGCTTGGGCGATAAATCCATGGCCACCAGAGTTTTGTTCGGTACTTTCAGCTCATACTCCAAATTCAGATTTCTTTGTGATTTGAAACGGAGCTTTGTGAGTCGCATCAAACCCCTTGGCTCTCTCAAGTTTGGGGCTCTTACAACGAAAAGTCTTGGCTTTTATGGCCGTTGTTCTAGTGTCAGCATCAAAATGTCTAATAGAAAGACAGAGATCAACAGTGGCTTTTTAATTAGGAGAAATAAAAATGTTTCAGAAAAGTAAAAACAAACATTCAAACACATCAACAGCATAGTGCCACCCATCTGTCAAATAACCCAGCACGCTGTTCTGGTGCATATTGGTGGACCTCCGATGCCCGCTCAGGTTATCCCATTACCCAGGATTAAGAACTGTTACCATATTGTCCTCCTAATGAAGTTTGGAAAGGGAGTGAACCATTATAGACAGAGTCATTTTTTTTTTTTTTTTATCCTCACCCGAGGACATTTTTCCATTTTTTGTTCAGGTAGAGTGGGAGGGAGAGAGAGGAACAGAGAGAGAGAGAAACATCAACATGAAAGGGACACATCGAGTGGCTGCCACCCGCACGACCAACCAGGGCCGGGGACAAACTCCAACCGAGGTACGTGCCCTTAGCGGGAACCGAACCCGGGTCTCTCCAGACCACAGGCCGGCCAGAGTCATTTTTAATCAGTGCAGTGACTTTATTCTAGGTCGTATCTGCCCTCCCCCTGGGGGAAGGTCTTCGGGCCGCCCGTGGCCAGCAGGCTGCAGGACAGCTCATAGAAAGCTGTCACTGTCCCTCATTTAGAGGACAGTGTGGTAAGGGTTCAAATAATTCAGAGAAGTGTTTTAAAATGAAACATGAGCTGAATGCACAGGCTGTCAATGAATGCTCATTTCCTTCTCCAAATCTACGTGCTAACCTGCTCTTATTCCGACTGGAGGCTGTTTGAATGAACGTGAAAGGGTGTGTTCATTAAGCCATTTAGAACAAAAATGATCATTAATCTTAATTAAAACACATAATTTGAAAGGCAAGATCTTTTAAAATAAATGAACAGTGTTATAAGCCATTAAAATACAGGGCCCCGAAGGTTTTTTTTAAACGAGGCTGGGAACCCTGTTCATGTCACAGAAGGGCATTTGGTATTTGCTTTCAGACATGATTCCGGTGGTAGTGAAGGATTCGCCCTGAGGAATTCACACCTCCCTCTAGTTCCTTTGATAATAGACTGGTTTTTTTTTAAAGGGTGGTCGAGTTGGATTAGGGTATGGAATGGATTACATGCATTGCTCCGGCCTCATTAGGAGCACAGGCTCACCAGTAGACCTGGGGGCAGCCAGCTCGGCATAGGCAGGGACCCCGAGGGCTGATCAGAAATGCTAGGCCTTCCCGTAGTCATCATTCCGTGGTCTCCTCGCCATCTCTCCTTCCTAGCGCTGGGTCCTTGACTAAGAAGCAGGGCTTGCGCTGGGAGTGCCCGTGTGTACGGGCAGCGGGGCGTTTGAGGCAGGGCCACTCGGACACTGTCACTGCCTCTCTCTCCCTTCCTGCTACCCTCCTTGAGCTTACGCTTCCTCCCCTCTCCTGTCCACCTCCCCCACACCCACAGACGGGGTGGCTGCCTTCCGCGCCTTCCTGAAGACGGAGTTCAGCGAGGAGAACCTGGAGTTCTGGCTGGCCTGCGAGGAGTTCAAGAAGACCCGGTCAACTGCAAAGCTGGTCTCCAAGGCCCACAGGATCTTCGAGGAGTTTGTGGACGTGCAGGCTCCGAGGGAGGTGTGTCGGCGGTGGCGAGCGTCGTCAGCCCTCTGTCCGTGGCTCCTGGCTCACACCTCCCTCCGCGTGGGGGTTTGGGCCACACGTAATGGGGACTTGCTTCTGAACGGTCACAGCTCTGGTGGCTCTTGATGAAAAGGGGATCGTTTTAAGGGGCAGAGCCCGGGGCTTGTATAGAGGAGCTCGGTCAGGAGTGTGTTGGCTGTCTGTCGGTTAAACTGTCCCAGCAGGAACTGTTTCTATGGAGGTTCTGCAGAGAGAGGCGCCACTGAATCTACACGAGTGTTCCTCGTGGGAGGCAGCGTGGCTTAATGGAATGAGTATCCACTTTGGAATCGTGTTCCAATCTCAGCTCCACCACTTACTAGCTGTGTGATCTTGGTCAAGTTACCTAGCCTCTCTGAATCACATACAAGGATCCAGTATCACCTTTCTTTCTTTCTCTTACTTTTCTTTCTCTTCCTTTCTTTTCTTTCTCTTCCTTCCTTCCTTTCTTTTCTTTCCCTTCCTTCCTTCCTTCCCTTCTTTTCTTTCTGTTCCTTTCCCTTTCCCTTTCCTTCTTCCTTTTTGGTACATGCCCCCAGCGGTAACTGAACCCGGGAATCTCTGGTCCATAGGCCGACGCTCCAACCGCTGAGCCAAACCGGCCAGGACTCACCTTCCTTTCAAGACTACTATAAGTATTAGGGATAAAGCACCTATTGAATATTTGTCATTGTTTATTAACCACAGTCATTTATATTATTTTATGATAACTTATGCTAACTGACAATAAGAAAATGAATTCAATGTGCTGCTAATTTGGGATACAAAAGAGAAATTTACTTGGGAGGGTTTTATAGAAGAAAATGATTTGCTGCCGAAGAGTCTGGTGCATTGCACACCTAGAACTCGTCCACGATGCTTTCCCTCGGGCTGCAGGAGGTCTTTGGCCAGTGGCCAGGATGTCGCAGGCTCTCAAGTGCTGCTTGGGACAGAGAGGCACACTCTAACCAGCCTCTCTCCCCGGAGCACGTGTTTTCTCGGTAGTTAAGACAGAACAGAGGGCAGGCTTACTTCGGGGAACGGCACTAATGCTCGTTTCTAGCCTCACTCTTCACCTGCCATTGTAACGGCCTCTGGATTATGAGTTAAGTGAATTGGGGTTTTGCCTTGACCCTGCTACTAACGTCCCATATTACTTAAGGACATATTACTGAAGACAAGAGATACTTAAAAGCTGGTCTAATCTATAAATTGGGATGAGGAATATCTGGTCTTCAGATCTCACAGGATTCTTTCTGGAATCAAAAGGATTGGCCTCCATGAAAACAGTTTTAAAAGCGTGACTGACCTTCCCTCTCTAAGCGCTGCCATTGATTACGACATAGCTAGGACCAGCCGCCAGGCGCCTTGGCCACTGAGAGCCTGTGACCACGCTTTCTGTTTGTGTCTCCAGGTCAACATCGATTTCCAGACCCGAGAGGCCACGAGGAAGAACATGCAAGAGCCATCCCTGACTTGCTTTGACCAAGCCCAGGGGAAAGTACACAGCCTCATGGAGAAAGACTCGTACCCCAGGTTCCTGAGGTCCAAAATGTACTCAGATCTGCTTTCCCAAAGCCAGAGGAGGCTCAGCTAGACCTCACATGGGGACTCTTGGAGATCACCGGCTTCCTCTGCCCCTTGCTGCCAAGCCTATATTCTAATGTGAAATGTCCTAGATATTCAAAAGCAGTGGTGTCTAGGCTGGGAGGCTGGGTGAGGAGGGGATGAAGGGTCATTCCAAAGTGTAATTCAGTCACCAGAACTGGGTTCTAGCTCATTCACCCCTGTTTGTGTTTTGGTTAGTGGTAGCACCTGGCTGCAGTCACCCTTCTCTGGGTCAGCACCTTGCCCTCCATAATGCCTTGGGTCATCCCCACTGAGAAGGCAGGTTCCCTAGGCCAGGCTAGTCTGTAAATAACACAAATTCAGTCTCCATCCCTCCCACACCCTTTCAGTTAGGGTTCCTGGCACTCAAACTTGTCCTATACCCCTGTGAGGAACAGTAAGAAGACTGACTCATATCTTTAATTTGCTAGACCCAGGTGCTGGGACCTCAGAGTGTGGGAGAGAGGTCTCTGTGGAGTCCTGGGTCTCTAGCACGATTGTTGACAGGTGGCCGCTGGGAGAAGGGGTCAACTCCATGGAGTTGGTTGTTCCTTCCATTTCCAGGACCAGTGTGAAAAGCGGTGCCCACTGCCCATCTTAGTCCAGGAAATTCACAAGACTCTCCTGCCCTTGCAAGACCCTTCCAGAAAGGGTCTTGGGAACCGTCCTTCATGATTTCTGATGGGGAGCTGCTACTAAGAAAGACATAGCTTGCAGATCTTCCTAAATTCTACCAAGAAGTTTCCTGAAGTTGAACCCACCAGGAAATGTAACACCAGTAGAACTTTGTGCAGTGAGGCACCATGTAACCTTTCTGCTGCTTAATGTACTCTCTGCCCTCACCTCATCATAGATCACCCATCTCTTAGAATGACAGACAACAGCTTGGCAAAGGGAGGTGAATTCCCATAGCACGGACAGCTCTCACAGTGCCTACTACTCTCCCTGTCTCTCTCTGCCCCCCCCTTCCATGCAGGTCATGTAATTATGACGGGGGAGAATGGGACCTTAGGCCATAACTCTTTTCCCAGCTTGCTTCCTGGGAGCATGCTTTCTTAGAATGGTCCTTCTCATGAGGGCCACCTTGGCTATTCAACAGCTTCCTTCTTGATCGCTGACCTTTCGGGATTGAACATGAGGCTAAGAAGATCACTGTGAACATTTGGTTGTGGAGAACCTTCCTAAAATGCTCTCATGGTACTGGGGCTGCTCTTGGAAATACGCCAGGAAACTCTTTCTTGGAGTATGAGCAAGGCACGTGGCACCTACTCCAGCTGCCCAGGAAAAAGCTGACTTTGGCACAAGACTGCAGTGCCGAGGGGATGAATCCTCAGCAGAGAGACCAGAAATTGATAGAGGGCCCTGGAAGAGGCTGGTCTCTGGGTGAACTGAAGCGCAGAGCATGTGGCGAAGGAGCTCTCGGGATCATTCAAAGCTGATGGATTGGAGGCATGGCAGATGCGCAGAACTTTCAGCGTGACTACATGGAACAGCATCTGATAAGGCATAAGCTCTGGAGAGCAGCTGATAGAGAAGCTTTCTCCTCTCGTGGGGTGATGGGCCTTTTTAGACCCGTGGCGGTTCCAGTGTTTGGATTCCTGTCCAGAGCTTCACCAGTCCCTTCCTTCCTTGGCTACAGCTAGACAGGCCAGGAAGGCGCTCAAGCTCCACTTGTGTTGGGTCCACGGACTTGCCACGGTTCATCACCTCCACGAATGAGCATCGGCGTGTCTGCCTGGACCACCACGGAGAAGGAGATCACATGCCTCCAGCTTTCACACTGAGGAGACCGGTGGGATTTCATGTTCGAGCGCTCTGAAACCTCAAATGGGTGTTCCTAGTTAGAGCAGCTGGTGGTCCTCTGCCCCCGCTGGTAAAAACCATCCTTAGCTAAAGCTGCCAGAATTAACGTAATGATCAAATTCTTGAACAGGGTATTTTAAACATTGTTTACATATGAAACGGGCATCTGCTGCCAACTCTACTGTCCAGGGTAAGCCCACAGGAACCGGAACAGCACGCAGTGGTGAAAATCTGGACCGTCCTAAGAGGGGCCTCTGTACCACGTCCACCATCCCCGGGAGGAAAGTCCAAACACGAGTGTCGTGTGGTGGCCGCAGTGGGGCCCTCGAGTTCTTTCCAGCTGTTGGTGGAAGAAGGTTGCTGGTGATGGTGTCGTGGCGCCTGGTGACTTCTTCCCACGATGGGGAGGCATGAAGGACCAAGCCTTGGTACCCTGCATTTTGCTGCTCAGCGAGGGTATGTGGGCGTGTGTAGAGAAACGTGACAGCTAGATTTATGGCACTCCCATGGAGTGTGCGTGTGGGTGACAACTGTGAGCATTAGCCCAGGAAACACAGGTGAGCTTCCCATGGGATGGAGCTGTTCTCACACCTTTCTGTCCTGCCTCCCACAGAAGGCACGGAGCTCTGTGCTCTCGTGCCCCCCTCCAGGCACTTTGGTCATGCCAACCCAGATTTTGGTCTGTGACAAAACAAAGAGACATGTTTACAACATCTAGAGCAATATCCAAGCATACCTCATCCCAACCTTGCACCTCCCCGGACCCACCTGCTCTCCCATTTGCTCTTCCACAAGCCCTCACTGCCTCGCTAGGTGGCGCCCCCAGGGCCACGTCTTCCATCTCCCGTCTTCCTTGGCTCCTCCGGCGCTTGTGCGGGGGACTGACGGCCTCCGGGCTCGAGGCTCGCTCTGTGCCTGGGAACCTGGAGGGCCCAGGGCGAGCCAGGGCAGTGGGCCAGGCAGATCTACGACTTTGAGGACTGTTTCTCATCGCGAGTGGCCAACTGTTTGGGGGCTGGTGTGGGATTTCCTGTTGCCCTTGGCAAACCAAATAGAACATGATCAGTGACAGCCATTCACAGCCCTGGGCACCTCTGGGGTGAGGGAGGGCCCTCTGAGCAGTATTTATTATTAAATTTGAGCGTCAAGAAACCTGCCTACCCTGGAAAGTCTGTTACGAGAGTTAATTCTCAGGTTCCACATCCAGAGATGCTGACCCAATAGACCTGGGGTGGGACCCAGAAGTCTTCATTTTAAATAAGCTCCTAGTGAGTAGTGGACCACACTGTGAAAAAGATGGTCTAAGACAGTGGTCTCAGACGGTGGCTCTCACCCTTGGCTGCCCATTGCGGTGACCTGGGGAGTTTTAAAAACCCAAATGTCCAGGTCTCACCCCAGAGCAGCTTGGCCTTGGGACCCCGGGCATTAGTCGGTGTTTAAAGCCTCCCAGGTGATTCCAATGTACAGGTGAGGCTAGGAAGCACGGGCCTGAGGAGCGAGGAGGAACAGCTGAGCAGAAAACACCACCGTGGGCACACCCAGCCGCAAATAAGCACAGTGACCAGGAACCTGCCGGTCCTGAGTCTGACTGATGGGGTGGCGACCTCTGTGCCCTTTCAGTCCTTCTTCCTCCTTTGAGATGCAAATATGTTTCTGCCCCAGCGACACGCACAGCTGGGCAGCAGGCATGCCAGAAGTGGGGGCAGAGGGAGACTCGGTTAAGAGTGGTGTTGCCACACCTCCCAGTCTTGTCCACAGGCTTCCTCCAGGCTGGCCTCTTGGGCTGTTTCTCCTGTCAGTTTTCATGCATTCTCGTGTTTGGCCATCTTGTGTTAGACGTGCCTCCGTCCCCAAGGCCATGCGACCTGGTAGTTGGAACTCAGGCAGTGGGTGAAGGTTGGTAGTAATAATAGCGGTAGCACAATAACTTCAGACCCCTTGAAGGAGGGTGTCGCCTCCTGGGAATGTCAGGCTCCCGGAGGCTTTCTTGTCCGGGGCCACACTGGGCTTTCAGTTCCTCTTGGAGGTGTCACTGTTCCCTCTGGTCTCAGGCGGGTGGGCACCTGGAAGGTTCCTAGTTCATCTTACTTTCTGGCTCTCCCCAGAACTTATTGCCCTGAATCAACCGAAGCTGTGAGGTGTGTCCCGCCCGGGCTGCGGGCACCTGTCCTCGGCAGGGCCGGGCCAGGGTCCGGGTTCTCGAGGCGCTGGGCCATGGGGCAAAGCTGTGAACCCTTTGCACTGAGAGTCTGGGTGAGGGTGGGCCTGGGGAGACTAGGGAAGAGGGCAGGGCACACAAGTAGCAAATGTGGGGTCTGCTTCTCCATGAGCCCGAGGGAGAGGTGATAAGAGGCACCTCCTCAGAGGCAGGAGGGTCTCCCAGCCACAAGAGCGCCCAGAATTCTCCTGACCCTGCCTGTGCCCACGTCCAAGCAAGGCAGAGGAATTCCAATTTTCCACCCGAGGCTGCCCTTGAATTGGCCATGTCAATCCTCTTTAAATCTGTCCCTCTGGCTTGGAAGCAAGAGAGGTGGCCAAGTCACCCTGGTGTCAAGAGCCTGTGCTACTAGGCATGAGACTGGAGGAAGAAGCCCAGAGCAGAGACAGCTTCCTGTCCCCACGGCCTCTCAGGACTCCAATTTGATGCTGTGGACCAAATGGGAGACTGCAGGATGGGGCCGCTAGCCTCCCCAGGTCCGGGGGCCGGGTCCTCTCAATACACTGTCTCCTTCTTGATTCTTACTCCCTTTGCCCCTTCTGCCGAGTGCAGAGAAGGCGACTGGTTTCGGTGTGCCCTGCAACCACGGCAGCCAGAGTCACGGGGTGTGCACGACACATTGTAGCAGCTCATCTGCCACATACAGCGCTTGGCTGATGGCGTCCTCATTGAGTCGTTTCATTACTGTGCAGAGTGGAACAATGCCATTCACCTCGACTATAAACAAGGCTGTGAGACATAATAAACAACCCGAACACGCTGCCCACGTTTCTGGCCGGCTGACTCTCTGGGAGGCTCTGCTTCAGGTCGCACGTGGGCGCCCCGGGGGAGCGCACACCTCGCCGGGCCAGGCGGGCACGGGGCCGGCCACCAGGAACGTGGCGGCCGAGTGGGTGGAAGCGGGCTACGGATGGTTTGGGATGAGTGTGGGGGGTGGAAAGAGACTCGGGCTACGGGAGTGGCTTTGAAGCTGTAAAATGCCACACAAACACGAGGTGGTATTTGTATGAGTACCACCTACTGCTCGAAAGTGCAGGGAGAGAAAGGGCTGAGGGATGGTTGTGTATTTGTTCAGCTGGGCAATCTGAAATGGGGCGGCTGAGCTTGTTTATGACTGGACTCGTTTTATACAATCGGTGTGCCCCTGAAAAGTGCGCCTTCGTCATCGAGTCTTTGAATGGCCCCGGGGATGGAGTTCTCTGGAGAGGACGGAAGGAGAATGAGGGGTAGTGTCTGCTTGCAAAAGCTCATTTTTCAGGTGTAGTGATGATAGGGATATACACAATCTTAACAGTCCAAATAATTAAAATGCACCGGAGACAGCCTGTCTTGAAAAGGAAAGCTGACATTTCCTCTAAGTTGAATGCTTAGTGTAAATGAAAAAGCCTTTGTGATGCAAACGATCACCCCTAAATCCTGGTTTGTAGACTGGGGAGGCCAGGCCTGGGCTGCTGCAGACAGGAGGCCCGCCCACTGGGAAGGGGTGTGATTGGACCCTCTCTTTCCAGTTTTGCTTTTCTACTTCCTTCTTACTCAGTTGCTCCCCCGGGATTTTCTGACCCCAGGGGAGGAGGAGAGGAGCAGGGGGGCCATGCCGAAGGCACATGTCTTCGGGACAGGCCTCGGGCTCTCTGGGCCTGGGAGGACACCCCTCTCTAGGGATTGCTCCCTCCCTCCAGCTCTCCCAACCAGGGTGACAGCTTTCCTTCTCTGCCTGGTGGCTTGCTCCTTCCTGGGCGGGGCGCCCCCTTCTATCTGCAGCAGTCTGTTTGCCCCTCCAGGACACCCTCTTGGACGGCTCCTTGGATGACCCCATGCCAGTCTCTGTGTCTCGAGAGGCCACAGTTGGCCGGTTGACAGCACTGGGTCTTACTTGCCCCTAGAAGTACGAGGCAGCAGCTGCTCTGCCCTCGCTCTGCAGCCCGAGCCCCCATGCCCCCCACTGCGGCCGTTTCTGATTTTCCAGGCTGGAGTCGGACACCAGTCTACTGGGTCCCCAGGCACCAGGGGCACACGTCAGGCTCTCCAAGGGACCCACTGCACCTGCTCTCTCTGGGAGTGAAGTAATAGCCAGCCACCCCGACCCACCTCATCCCTTCTGGTGGTGGGGACACCAACACTCTTCCAATCCCTGGCCTTTTCTCTGGGGGATGGCTTTGAGGGCTCCCCAGCTGGTCCTTCACTCCTCCCTGCAATGTTGCTTGGTCTGGAAGCCCTCTGGTCTCTGAGTTTTATCTGGCCTTGACAGAGAAGCCCCTTACCAGTGGAAAACAGCATTATGCGGGGGAATCTCATTAACGCAGTAAATGTGGAAAAACCAAGCAAAGTCCCTCCTGGTCCTGTTATCTACATCAGGGGTGGGAGCACCCAGCCCGCAGGCCGTGCGAGGTCCGCATCAATACCAGCTAACATCACACGCCTCACCAAATTAGCCTGACCAAATATAGCCGGCTAATTTGTAAGCTGATACTTCGGTGTGATCCAAGAATGATGTTATAAATATCCAGATGGCCCTCGGCAGCAAAAAGGTTCTCCATCCCGACATCAAGGTGAAAGCTGTGGCCAGAGGGAGACAAGAGAGGTCATTGAGATACTGCCCTTCTGGGGACACTCTTCCTTGGGGTCGTCCTGGTTCCCTCCCTCTCCAGGAGGTACGGGACAAAGCCGTCATGAAGGCAGGAAGGACAGACTGGGCTTCATCCTGGGTGCTGCCTGCCCATCCAGGCTCCTGCCACAGACGGGCGCCAGCGCCCACCGTAGAGGTAGCCCCCAGCCTGAGAGAACCACCTAGACCAGGGTCCCATCAGCATGACTCTAGACTGTCTGAGTCTGAATCCCAGCTCTAACTCTCCTAGGAAAGTGGTCTCCCTGGGTGTCAGGTTTCTGGTCTGTAAAGCTGAAATAAGAACAGAGCTACCTCCTGGGGCTTTGTGATCATTACGTTAGCGTGGAGGACGCTCGGCCTGATGCCCAGGACACAGCAGGCAGCAGTGTGTGTCTTCTTTCACTGGAGCATTTCCCATCACCCTGGGGCCACCTCCATGCAGAGCTTCCTGGCCCCAAGCAGTGATGTGACAGGACGGGTCCAGGTCCCCTCCTTCCCTTCTAAACCAGACTCCAGAGGGCAAGAACGCTACAGCCGGGGCCCCGAAACTGAGCTCTTCACAACCCTTCCCGCGGCCCAGGAGATGATCTCAGATCCCAGAGGGCTTACCAAATGAGAGGCAAGGAAAGGGCGTGGCTGCACGTTCGGAACTGGCAACACCGAAGGAAGACCTTCAGGAGCCAGGAACGCCGCAGAGCTTCGTCTAGTCAAATCCCCCAACAACGCGAAGAGGAACTGCACTGGTTTGCTAGGGCTTCCAGAACAAAACCCAATTCCACCCACGTTAGCAGGTAAAACCTGTTACCTGTTATTATCCCCATTTACACACGAGGACGTTGAAGCACACGGACCTCGAACACATCTGAAGTCATGCGATCGGCAATTGGCAGAATCTTGAACCCAGAGCCGGTGCTCCTAACCCCAGCACCCAGCAGACTGGAAGAGAGGAGGGTGGGGTGAGGTGGGGAAGCACCTGGGTTGGGGCGAGGGGAGTTTAATCGCTCATGGGACCGGAAGGTTCCACCGTATGTACATACGCCAGTGCAGGGGTGGGAATGGGAGTCAAATCCCCACATTTTGCTTGGTCAGAAATCTGGGCTCCTGGAGAAGCTGGGGGCCTGGACCCAAAGGATCCTGGCTGAAGCCCGCTGGAAATGGGATTAGCCAACTATCTGCCTGAACTGTTCCCAGCCACTCATTCGGGCACCGGTACTCGGTTTTGTTTCCACGCGATCGGTCCTCTGCCTTCTCTCTTAGCCCAGCTCTGCTACCGTCCTGCCAGCCCATCATTGTTTGTCTGGGGAGGCTGACTCCTACCCTCAACCCAGGGTCAAGTTTGGGCCCTATCTCCTGCACCTGCCATGGGGCGGGCACGTGCATCCCCGCGGTGCAGGCTCCAGGCAGCCCTCCCCCCAGCACTAAGACCAGCCTTGCAGGCACCAGCTGGGGAAGGGGCTCTCCTCGAGCCACGTGGTGGAAAGGAACGAGGGATCTGGACACGTCAGCCTGAGGTTGAATCCTGACACTGTTGCTTATTCTGGGTACGACCCTGGGAAGGAACTGAGCCCCTCCTGGCCTGTTTTCTTATTGGCAGAAGAGGAATAATTAAACCTACATTTCTAGGCAGGGTGGCTGCCAGGATTAGAGAGGACATGTGCAAAGCACTTGGGCAGAAGCTAGTATGTGTAGGTGCTAAAAAAAAAAAAAAGTATGAGAGATGCAGGCCCTAGTTTGTAGACATCCCAGGGCTCAGCGTCTAACCTCCTCTGGGGTTCAGAACAAATCACAGAGCTGTTGGCAGTAGAAGGCCTATCGGGATAGGTCGATGTAGGCTGTGCTTCCGAAAGCCAGGCCCTCTGCAGCTAGAGACAAAACGAGGTGTCTTTCACGCAGGAGGGTGCTCTGCCCTGGCCAGGGTGTCACGACCACTCCATGGTGCCCCGTGAGCTACATATGACAGGGGTCACTCACTTGTCACACGGGCTTTTCCATGAGACATTCCAAATGCAAACAAATTAACTAGATTTAAAATTAGCAATTAAAAAAAAAAATCCCTGAATCTTTCAAAACCAAATCAACTGATCGATGCCTTCCACACACCCTCTTGTAATTGATCCCAGATTCAGAATTCTACTTTTGACGGGTAGCCTTCGGAGAAACGCAGGAAACAGGACCGGTGTGGCTGTAGTTAATCAAGGTGCACAGTACGTGAGTGGCTCTTGAATAGATTAAAATAGAGCCCTCCGCCAGGCTTACTGGGGTATTCAAGAATGTTTTTTTTTTTTTTATCCTCACCCGAGGATATTTTTCCATTTTTTGTACAGATAGAGTGGGAGGGAGAGAGAGGAAGGGAGAGAGAGAGAAACATCGACGTGAAGGGACAACATCGAGTGGCTGCCACCCGCACGACCAACCAGGGCCGGGGACAAACTGCAACCGAAGTACGTGCCCTTAGCGGGAACCGAACCCGGGTCTCTCCGGACCGCAGGCCGACGCTCTAACCGCTGAGCCAAACTGGCCAGGGCTCAAGAATGTTTTAATTATACATTTTAATGAAATCATCAGGGGTTTCTAATAATGCTTTATCAGATCAATTGTAACCAATAAGCAAGTATGATTTCAATCAGCAACTCCACAAGGGCTTAGAATGGCAGTATGTCCCAGGCAGTGGCAAGGAAGGGGTGAGCTGGGAAGGGGGCTTCTAGGACTTTCATCACTTTCAAATCACTGAAGACCTGGGGACAGTAGCCTGCTGGGTCAGGGCAAACTTCCCTGCATCACAGGGAGAAGGGGGTGGACTCCTGGGGAGAAGACTATGGGGCAATTAGAGTGGGAGGGCAAACAGGTTTCCTTTCCCGACTCAGGGTCAGGCAGTTGCTAGGATAAAGAGACTTGCAGGAGAAGAGAGGGGACCTGTGGGCTCCTCACCCCTCCCACTGGCAAATGGCCTTCTACTGGCAGCCCCGCGGAGGGACTTGCCTCAGCAGGGAGGAAACATTCTCACGCAGAAGGGCGGCATCTGGGCCTATTCTGCAGCCACGGAGACAATTCTGCCTGTTGAGGGAGCAGCTGTCGGCCACCTGCTCACCAGCCTGGGTTAAG